GCGACAAAAGTCTCAAACTTGGAGGGCACCTTCAGAGGACCCTCACTGACTTTTGTCACCCCACAAATTAAAAAAAATGTCAATTGACATTTTCCATTGATTAAAAAAAACTGAATCTTCTGCTAGCCTGATTACTTGCATTCTAATTGCGACAAAAGTCTCAAACTTGGAGCACCTTCAGAGGACCCCACTGACTTTTGTCACCCCACAAATTTAAAAAAAATGGTCAATTGACATTTTCCATTGATTTTTTAAAAAAGGAATTAGAATGCAAGTAATCAGGTTAGCAGAAAATTAACTTTTAAAAAAATCAATGGAAAATGTCAATTGATATTTTTTTTGACATTTGTGGGGTGACAAAAGTCTGTGGGGGTCCTCTGAAGGTACCCTCGCAATTTCAGAGTTTTGTCACCTCTAGAACCCCAAAATCCCAAAATCCACATATTATTATTAACTACAATAAACAAATGGTTAATTGTTAATTGTCTTGCACTCAATACGCTAATAGATATTAGTTTTGTCAAGTTTTGTCGGCCTTTAATAATCTGCTAAATCATCTTCCAAGGGTGGAAACTCGGTCGAGCGTGAGAACCACTGCTATCCTATTTTCGGCAAACGAATTTTCGGCTAGCTTCCACTCCATAAAAATTATCAGTTGAAAACCCTGTAGCTTGTACCACGTGATGTCGAATGGGCCAATTATATTGCCCGATATTTGGGTTGGAAAAATAATCAATATTATTTGGTAGTTGCCGTGAGTAGAAGTTACCTCCCCCCCCCCTATGCCGGTGCTAGTTTCCTTAAATCTTTCCTCCCAATGGTGAACTTACACACTTTTGCCCCTATTAAGTAATAGATCATTGCAGAGAAAATTGTATTTAGTTGACTAATTATTTTCCCCCCTAGACACGATTACCTTCTTCCCTTTTCCATATTATCTAGAGTCATCCTTTTGTCGCCTACAAAAGTAGCTTGGCCTTACCCATCCCCTAGATCAAGTGTACAAGGCAATTGAAAGGTTGTAACTATATTGTACAGGAAAGAATTCAGGGTAATTAGGAAATATATGACCTTTTAAGAATTCTTCGAGGAAACTGAATTATTTCATCCATAAACGAAAAAAGAAATTGAAATGAACAAGAAACTTGAGTCGGACTCAATTAGGTAAATAACTTGAAGGGGAAGACTGAGTCAAATTGTGACCTTTGTGGGGTTCATACCAGCTGCGTTCCTGTCGCGAGCCCCGGGTAATGATAAGTGCTGGTGAAGCTTGATACTTTAGAAATAAGTGCTTCACTACACGTTGAATTTATATGAACACTTCATAGCTGGAATTTAAAAAACTGCTCTTAAAACAGAAAGCGTAGAATGGGAGGTCCCGTACATCTACTTAAGCATACACGTTACAAAGTGTAATTACTCGAGGAAGCCGAATTCTTTTATAGCGGCCATTTTCCAACACATTATACGTCGAAATACTTCAAGATCATATATAAAAACTTGATATTTATCTATCAGTATCCCTGAGAAAATCAAGGTGCTATGTGACCTAATTACCGAATTCAGAATATATTGGATAATAGTGTGATTATAATTAGAATCATTGTTCCATTGATTTGATTATCCTAATCCCTCATTTCAAGTCCTAATATTAGGTTAAGTTAATTCCCCAATGTAAATAAACCCAGCCCAAGATAATTGTAATTCTATATTTATTTCAATATATTAAATAACATCCCCGGTTTAAAACGTTGTGTTTAAAACGTTTTTTATGAAAAAACGGAAAAACGTCAATATTTCGAAAACTTTCGCTGAATGAGTAAATGTGTTGATAGAAGGTATAGAAACGAATATTTTGAAAAAACAAATCGAAATCTGTCTACTAGTTTTGAAGATATTTGCGAAAAACGATTTAAAAATGAATCGCTTTTTCTCAAAAACTATTAGATCGATGGGGCTGAAATTTTATACAGAGCTAGCCCTCATTAAAACTTGTAATCGAACAAATTTCAGATTTTTGGGAATTACCTTAGCTACACAATTACTCGATTTTCTAAAAATTGACCACCAGGGAGGTGGCGGCGGACGTGATAACATACTTCATGTTTTTACGTTTCAGACCATTCCACATCATTTACAATCAAAATTAGAAAATGTGAAAATTGAAGGATTGCAATACTTCCATTCGGAAGCAAAAAAACTGAGGGGTCGAGGTCACGGGCTGGTGCAGTTGATATGGAATACCCCATATGTATAATTGTTCTCCTGAAAATACCTTCTGTATAATATTTTCATGATCAACTACTAAGAGTAATGATTTTTATCCGAACCGGGGAAAAAATAAAATATCCGATAATTTATCGACGGATACAATGTACCAAGGATAAATGGTCGGCAGATCAGATGTCAACAATATAATTGTTGCTAGAAAAATTCTCATTGGTTTTTTTGGGAATGTTGTAGCGGAAAATTTATACGCGGATCAAATAGCGTGTTTCCTTACATTCATAATATCAATGAAATCAAACAAAATAAAACTAAATTCGAATCCCGGAAAAAATAGACCAAAGGAAATTTTCAAGTTGAGTGGGTTTTAGCACGTTTTAGATGTGTGGGCTATTTTTACCTGGTCTTTTTTTTCCGCCTACCAAAACAAGAAATATATTACGAATTACCAACAGCTCCGTTGAGGTTCTGGAAGATCTCCGCTTCATGGTCCACCTTTATTTTATGGTTTTTCCTAAACGCTGGATCCAGGTAAATTTTCGTATAAAACAATTGATCATCATCACTGTTTTTAACTTTGGAAGTTGTCAACATCGCATAGACATTTGAAGCATAACCAATGAAGCCACCAGAGTTTAAATAAGGTTCACCTCGGCCAATTGCAGGGTACTGAGATGCTAATGATTTATCGGGCCAACAAAAGCCTTCTGCTGAGAACAAAATTCGAGCGTCGAACAACTTGAATCGACTGACGATATCTTCCAAAGGCATCAAAAAGATGACATCGTAACTAAAATTTTAATTTCATTAGTTTGACGGCTCCCACCTACTTCTTGAATTTCATGCCTATGTAATTCACTAACCCATCGGTAACTAAAATTATTCTTTCCGTATCATTCTTGAATTCTTTTAAGGCTTTTTTTAGAAGATTGATTTTATATGCACCGCCGATGGATTTCATATTACCCCCTTTCCAAGGCTGGCCAAAACCCAATACTTTGATATTCTCCTCAAATCCTTGAACTCTTGCTGATCTGAGATACCTCTTGAAGCCGTCGGTGTGGTTTGATGCCACTGTAAATACGAGAACGTCTGAAAATGAAAAGAATTGCATCTTTTATAAATGAATACAGCTAAGGTTGCTAATAAATTATTAATTTTTGTTGTCGAATGGATTCTCTTTTCTTTGAAATGTTACTTTTACTATTCTCTCCTTTTCATTTTACACATTACGGTACTATCATAAATTGAAACGTCTTTAAATGTGAAATAGTATATTATGCACCAAGGACGGAAAGTCATATTTTCACCGGAAAAATCCAAATTCGTCAATATCGTCTACCCGAAAGACTTTTGCGGCTGGACAATGAATGCCTAGCTAGACATCAGCGTGATACACTGCAGTGAGCGAGGGCCACCAGGAGTCGTCCCATCACACCCTCACGAGTGTTTTCAAGCCGTGTATTATGGTCTTGCGATCGAATTATCCTAGTGAGTTGACTTCATGACTGTTTGGGAGGATCTCTCGACCCATCCAGCGTTCTTTCCCCTCCCAAATATTTCAACACGGAAGAGTTTCAGGGTAGTAGTATACACGCCACTTGGGCAGCCCCTACCTATAGTCACTCCGATCCAACCACTCCGCCGATCAGACTAGCACAACTCCGATGCGGTAGAGTGGTGGGGTAGGAGTAACCGTGGGCTTTGAAATGCGTCATAGTATCAGTGCTATAAAGAGAAAAATTAAAAAACACCAGTTTTCAAAATCTGGCCTGCTTTTTGGGCCAACTCATTTCCCCGTTCCTTACGGAAAGTCCCGATCATCGACGAGCACGCACGTAGTCGTGAGTGTGTTCCACAGTGGTCAGTACATCATTGAATCTCATCAGGAACGAATCATAGAAAATTATCCGTGCGCACATCGGCGCAATCATCGGGCATCTCAACGGTCAATTATCGAAAGTCATCCTAAATTATCCGGTCAATTATCTAAATATTCCGTGTTTGTACAGTCCACTCCGGTACCTCAACTATTTATTTGAACCTCATCCGGTGTAATTTTCAGTGCCATTTATCGTTTTAAATACAGTGACAATCAACGAAACTCATCTTAATTCATTCTCCGGCAAATCATCCCACTTCACTTTCCTTCCCGACCTCCCTATCATCAAAATCCCATGATTTTTAACATTGGTCCTTCAAGCCGTATGTGGAAGTGAAAAGTGAGTGGAAGTACAGTGCAAAATCATCGGGAAAGGAACAATCGGACAATCAACGCAATTGGAAAACCGACACCGTGGTGACACGAGGCTTTTCGGGGTTCACACATCTACAGTAAGGGAAATCATCCGAGGTCGGACATTCGACGAGGATTAAAGCAAATTAAAAGGAGTGGTTTGTTTATATCGGTCATAGTTAGCAATTCAACACGAGGATCGTCGTGACGTCAAAGCCGGAGTCCCATCAGTTGACACTTCGTCAATGGTCGTCGCACATCGGCATTCATCGGATTTGTCCAACCCGATCCATCCGCAGCCGTAGAGTGAGCGCTGCACCTTCACCTCAACGAGGCAATCGGTAACTCATCGGCGGGCTCGACACTGCAGTCGGTAAGTTATCGGCAGATACATCTACGGTCGGTAAGGAAGGAAATTCATGATGGCAAGGAGCACAGCGAAAACAACATCGTCTTGAGCAGACGGAATCGAGACAGAGTGGCCCGAGACATTCATCAAGAGCTTCGGGGAGGAAATGGCAGACATGGCCAGCATCTCCGTAGCGCCCAAGCAAGAGAAGGGATTCCCGGAACACCAAAGAAGAGGTCAAGTATCATTTTATTATTTTACAACCAAATCTTGGCAATTGATAGGACCTCATCCTCTGTGTTTCTCCCCTCAGCATCATCATCAGGGAAATCTTCATCGGGTTCAACGTCGACTGAGAGAATTTATGACTCTCTCAGATCCCAGAGAACACCAACCTGAAAGGTGCCAACCGGACCATCATCAAGGAACATTCATTAACCAGGAACCTGTCAACAAGTCATCCGGTCCATCATCGCGCCAAGACGCAGCATCACAAATTAAATCACCCGCACGGACACTCATCGAGAGGAAGAGCTCAACGACCTCGCACAATTGGATTGGAGATCGTGGACAATCAGAAAAGTACCAGGTGGAACGTCAACCTCATTTAAAGCCCATGTACGTTGGAGATCATTGTCAATCAGAGGAAGACCAAGTCAATCTGCAATCAGAACTGTACCAGGTGATTCCGGTGGATACCATCAACGTTTTGGAAGTTCAACGACCTCATCAGAATGCAACTCAATTGGTAATCTTGTCGACGGCGAGGGTCTTCGCCCTCAATCGTCATGGAAATTCAAGGCCAGCACGGATGCTCATCGACCAGGGCTCAGAGATAACACTAGTCTCTGAGGGCTTGGTTAATCAACTTCATCTGGAGCGAAGATCATCATCACTTTTCATCGTCGGCATCGGAGAAACCTCATCGGAGAGTACGCGTGGTGTAGTGAGTCTCGCCTTAAAACCGAGACACGACCCCGCTGCTCAAATCAATATAAACGCTCACATCTTGAGAAAGTTGACGGCGAATTTACCGCCATTTACTTGCGAATCAACGATTCCTCATAAGTTAAGAGAACTTCAGCGGACAGATCCTCAATTTTTAAAACCTGGGGCCATCGACATCATCATCGGAGCTGATACCTACGGGAGAATCATCGTCGAGAGAATCACCAGGTTCACGGAAAACAAATTAATCACTTAAGAAAACCATCTTCGGTTGGATCATCTCGAGGCCAGTCAGCTGCACCGGCTGTGCTCCGAAATCATCATTGAAAGTAACGAAACAGACGGCAACTCAACAACTCTTGGAACTCCTGAAGAAATTTTGGACTCAGGAGGAATGACCGGACACATCATCGTCAGTCTTGACGAAGGCTGAAGCGGAGTGTGAACAACACGTTATCGAAACTCATCGACGAGATTCGACGGGACGATACATAGTGTATCTCCCATTTAAATCATCGCCCGCCGCCTTGGGAGATACAGCATCATCGGCCAAGATACGGTAACAAAAGCCTACACGACGACTGTCATCCGATCCGGACACCCATTCACGCTACAAGAAATTCATCGAGGAAATGAGGTCTTGGACCACATGAAATGGAGTATCAACTGGAGATCCTCAAGCAGCTAATCAACCTCTGCATGGCGGGCGGTATGCCCCTGCAGAAATGGTGCAACAACGGGATCAGCTCCAAACACCAAATTTGAGAAATCAACGGTGAAAGTGCTGGGGCTCTGCTGGCAGCCTCAGGCACCTTTCACTACAAGGCAAGGAGCTTCAACTGGGACACCATCACCAAGCGCGTGATCCTGTCCGAGATTGCGCAAATTTACGACCCATTGGGACTCATCGCGCCGGTGATCGTCACGGCAAAAACGGCTTTCATAAAACGGTGGCAACTCTTCAGGGCGAATTTATTCAGATGCACTGGAGAAAGTTGTTGCCGAAAATAAAGATTTGAAATTGAGAATGGGAAAACAAGAAAAGAAGATGGGAGAATTGATTAACACTGTAGATAAAGTTGTAGAGGCCACCAGTAAAACAACAGTCCAGATTTGTAATTACTTGAAAAAGGCAAAAGAAGATGAAGATGATAGGAAAAAAGATACAGAGGAGCTTAAAAGCATCTTAGATAAATCAGAACGTTTTGGGGTTCAAGAACAAGTTAAGAGTAATGAGATTGAGACGCTTGACACAAATGATAAGGGGATGCCAGTTGAGAATGGGGAGAAGGGAAAAGATGGTCACGTACCACAAAGTGCAAGTACTGGAGGAAAAACCAGCAGAAAGGAAGAAGTAGAAGGGATTGTGACGGAATGTTTTGAAAAAATGGTGAAAAACTATCCAAATTCTAGATTGAGTAACCAAGTCCAGACATTAACTGAAGCTTTCCGACTTGAATTAGGTAACAAAGGGGGAAACGTTAAAGAGATTACAAGCTTTCTGCTAAAACAAGATATGAGCATTTCTTCGACTATTTTTCTTCTCAGTTGCGATTTCATAAACTTCTCCACATCATTGATAAAACTGTAGAATTAAACGTAAATGAAAAAGTATTCGAACAACAGAAGTATAAAGTACGTGATATTTTGATAAATCATATTGACAGCTCCTATCACTCTAAAATCATTGACACTAAAGATCCTGTTGAAATTTTGGAAAAATTGAAATTGATTAAAAGAGGCGAAGTAAATCGCCCTTCAGCCATGGTTAGAAAATTATTGAATAATATGACGTACATTCGCAGTAAAGAAACTGCCTCTGACTTTGGGTTAAGGTTTGATGATATGGCAAGGTAATATGAGAATGCGCCAAATGGGGAACAGATGACAGAGAAAGAAATCAGAGATGCTTTTTGTAATGCAATAGAAGTTTCAGTAGCAACATTTCAAACTGCTGAATTTCTGACGAGCGATGGGATTCTCACACTTACAAAGTTGAAAGAATTTATGGAAAAAGATGAAGCTACTCGTAATAAGAGATCTGCTGAGAAAAAAGAAATGAGGGTAGCAAAGCTGGCTGACAGAATAGAATCTATTTTGTGCTATATGTGTAAATCCTATGGTCTCATTGGCAGAAACTGTCCAAATAAGGGAAAAGGGATTCTCTGCTATTTTTGTAATGAACTGCGGAGTCACATAAGTACGAATTGTCCTAAGCGTTTCAATACTCAGCATTCTGACAAACGAAATTTAAGATTCAATAAAGGCAGCAACTACTCTCGAGGTGCAAGCGGGTTCAGACGAGGACGAGGCTTGAAAAGAAGTAGGGGGAATGAAAACAGGGGAAGAATTCAAACTAAAAGAGGGAGATTCGAGTTTAGGGGAAGTACAGGTGGTAACAGACCTCCGTTCAACAATAAAACACACTCGAGTGGCACTAAACAAATCTCCAGCACAAAGAATTTGAGGACCACAAAGAAGTCTTCAAACCCTTCAGACCCCAAAAATGGTAAGTTAAACACAGATAAAATGGAAGTTTTCTATGAGGAACCAAAATTG